TTGGGGAATATAAAACTCACTGCGAACGCCACCTAGAAAACCTAATTTGTGGCTCATCCCATATCTGACCTGGGAAGCAGGTGAGCCACAATACAAAAATAAAATATTCATGTGCAAATAAAAACATTCGTTGATCATGTATGTTGTCACCTTTATTTTGTTAGAGGACTGTTACTTTGTGATGCAGCACTTGGAAAAAAAAAAATTTCTTAGCCAGTTCTACATGCCCAATTAAAAACAGGATATATTTTTGGAAGGGAGAATCTATCTAGTTTTCCCCATCTCCTTTTCCACAAAACAATAATTAAAAAAGCTTTTAAAGCTTCTAATATATTTTTGTTTTCCATAGTGTAAGAGAGCCTGAGGCAATACTTATACATGTACTATACAAGTACAGCTGCTGCAACTCTCAAGCAATTTTCTTGGCTATACATCCTAGATTTTTCCATATATAGAAGGAGATAAAAATAAAGTAAATCCTTCTATTTATGTTAAAGCCAAGATTAATTTACCATAACCCTGCCTGTGAATACTCCAATAGCATTAGAGTATTTTTTTAAAGCATTCAAATATTTGGAAGAGACACAAAAACACTCAAAAGCAATGAAAAGAAAACCATAAGGGAAACTTGCAAGATGAAGAAAGCAACATGTGCTCAATTAAAAGTACCCAAGAGGAACTTTACTTTACAACCATTGTACCCCCATGGCCTGAAGCAGTGCCCTAGTAACAAACACGTAGGGGGATGGGGGGGGTTGTTGGTTTTTTTTGTTTTTTAAAAACTTTTACCTGATAACATTTAATCACCTGAAACCAATATGGCACAGGAGATGAGCGATCACCCATCAACTACAGTGCTAGCAGTCTGTGAAAGACATTCAACAACAAAAAAAGGTCATTTCTGGAAATCATGAAGGAAATAAAAGCTTAATAAAATAGGTGCACGGATCACAATCAACTTGGGCCCACATACTGCCTTCATCTTTGCATAAAACTCCAACTGTTGCTCGTGGGAGTCTTGCACGTGGAACAGTGCAGGATATTGCATCTGGGTTGCAGCCAACAGTGGATCACATGGGTGCTGTTGTACTACTATGACAAGTGCTCCTTTAAGTACATCACACAGTGCAATTTTTAAGATTACATCAGCTTTTTAGTCATGTGACTAATATCACATTGTCTCATTCAATTTAAAGAAATATTCCTTCTTGGAAGTGATATATCATCTATAAAGTTTAGATATTCCCCATTCTCCCCACATTAGAGGTAACACAATATGGCAACCAGCTAGGTTCTCATTAGTTTTGCATGATTAATACGAGGAGGTCATGCTGAAGTCAAGAATATCCATGAACAGTCAACACTCACCTCATCTCTAAGTACAGGACAAGGTACCTTTTCTAATTTTACATTGTTCTGTTTCACTCCCATCAGGTAGAAAACATGGAATCATTGAGATTTCTTTCTTCCATAATAGCTCAGTTTTTTTAAATTTCTCAGTCTAGCCAGGCATACGTCTTTCTGCCCTCTCAGAACGCATGTTAACTTCAAAGGTAAAATTCACATTATCAACTTTAACTCTAATTCAAAGTAAAAACAAAAGACTGTCAAAACCACAGGGCTAAAGGGACAGTATTTGTTATAAATTTATTTAGTCTTCAGTATTTAAGCTTGCACCTTTGCTCCAGCACTTTGAAAATAAAACGTTTCACCTATGACAGTATTTGCCAAATTCACACCGAGTCCCAGTCCATATTTAAAAGAAGCTTATATTAATCCCATTAAACCATGTTGTGTTTGGTGCTTCATGACTAGTTTACTTCTGCTTTTTTCAGAATTAACAGCGTCAAGATTTTACAAAGTTGTTCAGTTTACAACATCCATATGTGCAGACCCAAGTATACAAACTGTGACCTGATAATCCTGAAACAGTCTGTAATCTGGCAATTGAACCTTTTTCTTCCCCACCCCACACCCCCTTTTTTTTGCACTTGGAAACAGTAAGACTTCAAATTCTACTGTATGTTTAAATGGTAGGAAGAAAAATATATAAGCTTGTATTTATATTGTATTTCTATCAATGGCAACAGGTCATAAAATTCATGTTTGCAACTATCACAAAGACTCAAGAACACCAAGTCAGCTTTATACTGTAAATACTGCTGGACTGATGGTTTAGGATTATCAACTCACTGTTGTCATACATCTATAACAGTTCAAAAGCATCCTGGAGAAAAATCCTGAAACACATACCTTTCGGTATATAATAATGCAACTGCATTAGCTAAATATATACTGTACATAAGTCTTATCAGCATTTTACCTACCAAAGATGTAAGATTCCACTTTTAAATACAAAGTAGATAGCCAATAATGTATACTTATAATACAGCCCTCTTTTTCTTGTTGTTTTGTTTTAAACAATTTGGTCACAATGCACCTTTGATATAAAAGCATTTTAAACTTTATTATTAATACTCAGAACATTAGGATTTCCAGAATTTTTTTTTTTCAGTAGCATTTGTAGAACCACTTTTGGTAACAAATACAGTAGTTAGGAATGAGCATCCAGTTCAGAATGCAGGAAGTATATTATCCAGAATCCTTTCCAGCTAAAACCATAGGGCTGGTGCTGCGATGAGTAATAGTACTAGAGTCACAAAAACATTACTAGAGTATGTTTTTCAGAGGCTACATCCTCTTTTGCTGGAATACTTTATAAATACATATTAAAAAGTAAGGCAACAACTCCAAACAGTCCAAACTGTTTGCTCAACTCTTTTCTCAATTAGATCCATGACCACTGGAGACCAATTTCAGGCTTGTACTGTTTAGCGTTTGTCTTTATTATTTCAAAATGGTCCAATAAAAACATAGATCTTGTAATAATTTACCTATTAGTAACAGCTCTAGTATGTGTGTCCAATAGCATGTCGCTAATACTGGTTAGGTACCGAACTCTGTACGCGTTACCACTGCCCATTTTCAAAGGATTCGAGAGACTAGTTTAGATTTGCAATAAATTGATGCATGAATCCAAAATCCCCTTCCCCTATGTTGATCACCTCTTTGTGTTTGCTCAATGTTCAAATCAAAGGAGCACCAGTGCTTGACTGGTACTAGAAAATGTTTGCACCAGTAAACAAAACTTTATTAGGGACCTATATTTTCCATGGCCCTGATCTGCATGGACATTCAACTCATGAAGATGTGCAAAAGGAAAAAAAAAAATGTCAATATTACAGTAAAGTTATCCAGAGAAGGAGGATGTTACACAAACTCATAAGGAAATGACAGTCTTTTTTTTTCTCTTTTACTATAAATACATTTAACAGTTTAGCAGAAAGACAAGCTAAATTTAAGATTGTTCACATCTGAAAGTTGTATCATACTCTCTGCTAATGATAAATAAGGAACAAAGTCCTGACAATGGAATTCTGACATAGCAATTTTCATCAACAGATCTTAGAAGACTGGTTTTAAAGAAGGGTTAAAACAATTATTATGTTTGCAAAGTTCTGAGAAGTCCATCTGCTGTCCAAACTTTGGATTAAAGTCCTTATTATTCCTTTACTTAGAGACAGGTATATACAGTGCTGTTGTAATAATGAAACAAATGTGAAATCTACTGTAAAGTTGCACAATACAGAAAACTGTTGCTCCATCTTCTACTACATAAATGTGTGACTCCACAGGTTAATAATGTTGTTTTGTTTCTTTTGTTAAGTTGGAATAATTCCATCACGTCTAAGACCTCGCTTTAATTCCAAATCCTCCAGTTTTTTCCAAAGTTCTTCACGTTCCTTTTCCTTCTTCTTCTCACTGGCAGATGAAATAAAATGAAGTGTTAACAGCCAGGAAAATATAACAACATTTCTCAAAAAATTACTCTGATGCAAACTACCAGCACTAATTTTCTCAATGTTCACACATTTTTCCTACTTATTTTTGGTTTTGTTTTGGTTTTTTTAAGCCACAATTTCTGGGTTTTGTTGCATACATCACAACAACTGAAAAATACAGAAACAGAATAAAATTTAAGCTAAAGGCTAAAAAACTTTATGTATTATAAAGTTATTTATAATCTAAGGCTAAACAACTTTTTAAAGTACAGTCAGCCATCTTATAAAAGTAGTTAAAATCCACTCAAATGATTTTAAAATATTTTTTCTGAATCAAGTGTATAACATTTACAAATAACACATACTTTTAGGGCCAAGTTCTATTCAGTAATTTTCAACTTTGTGTATGGAGTTAATACAGATGTCTTTTCTCTCTTGCATTCCATAATGTTAAAGTCACCCTATTTTCCAGAACGAGTCTTCCATTACTATTTTAGGAGTAGACCGACTTTAGTACTGCTCCACTTGCATGCAGGCATCAGCTAGTTCAAGTCAACTTGCAGGATCTGTACCTTTAGTCTATGCTTTTGTTTCTTTCATCCAGCCATATCCCTAAAAATAATCCGTGCAGTGACTGCCTGAACAGATTGCCCTGGAGGATCTGATGGAATTAAACAACTAATGTAGGAATTTCTTAAGTTCATTACTGTCTCGAAGTGCCGTCTCTGCTGCTGATGCTACAAGATGCAGAGAGCTTCCCACCTCTTTTTTTAGTCACCTTACAGGGCATGAATGACTGAGAGCTAAGGATGTTGAATCTCAACTTGCCTGACAACATTTCTAAAAAAATTCCAGTGATTTTAAAGTTTTATTCTTATTCATCTTGCTTCGTGCAGACTGAAAATATTTGGTCATAGAGCAGTTATTTTGGCTCATCTATTTATGTATCTAATTTTCCTGGAATCACTTTGACTTGAATACATACACACAACAATTCATAAATAATGTTTTTTCTTGAGCATCTATTTTATCCTTAATTTCTATTTCTATTACATACAGCTCACAAAACATATTCAAAATAAACCATAAGAAAAGGTGAAATGACCTACAACTTACCTGATAACTATCATCTAATCCTTGTACTCCACATGGTCCTCTTACTAAAAGCAGTCCAGTAGTTTATCTCCTTCCTTCTTAATTCACACATGCTTGAACACTTATCCTCACTGATACTGAAAACTGCTCTGTGAAGCTTTCTTGTAACAACCATACTGCTTTTATTTTTACAAATTTTGTTCTAATAAGGCACCCAATGGACATGTATTATCACTTATTTCTATTCTGAGGCCCTGATTCTATGAAGATTTAGGTAAGTGGATAATCCCAATAAAGACAACAATTCATCTCGCCCATTTGGGGAGGGAGGGTGTTTTACATTGGAATTTCATTCATAAGTTTTCCATATTAAGTAATGTTATTTTTTGAACTCTTTGCCGCTTTTGACTACATGACACCCTACAAATACTAATGCACTTACATCAGCACATCAAGATGTTTGAACACTATGCCATGTTTAACAGAGAAACCTAATGGTGTCGCAGAAAACAGTGACTGTTTAATCGTGAATATTAAAAAAGGTTTAATATTTCAGTTATATATTCCACTGTATACATTTCATGATACACTTACACTTTACTTTAAAATAGCAATTTGTAAATAAATGTAGTAAAAGGATCAGCACCAGCCCTATTTAAGTTAGATGCAAGCATTAACTTAATGCAAGCATCAAGCATATGCTAGGAAAATTCTTCACACAGCTTGATTAATGCACGTCACATCCTCTGCTGACAGCCTTGTGTGGGATGTGTGGAGAGCACTTCAAGCAACGACTCACTTCACTAGCAGCAGTGGCTTCTTACCACCTTGATGGATCTGACTCCTTGTTTTAGAATTCTCTGGCCTCACTGATTACAAAATATAAAATGACTGCATCGCCTGATTGGTCTATCTGATAGATTAAGCCTCATCTTAAGGCCTACAAAGAAACAATCAAGTCTCTTGTGACTTAGTGCAGCTTTAAACCCAGATCTTCAGAAATAAAATATTAATTATTTCATCTAACCAATCCATCAATTACAGATTGTAAACATAAAACTTCATGTCTGCATATCTAAAATCAAAGCAAAACACGTGGATGGTGAACTATGACTCTGGTCATTCAATAATATATCATGGCCTCCAAGAGCCTCCAGAGGCTATACTAACCTAACAAGGTTTGATGACATACAGTACCCTTCGCTTTGCTTGTGGGAACCCTGAGTCACACAAAAGGCACGACTTAAACGAGTCGGAGTTCCCGAAGTTTCCTCATTTTTTTCACCTGCCGCTTTGGATAAGCTGAAATTTTAGACAAAAGATGATGCACTATAATTGCAATATGAAGATTAAAGAATATAGACAAAACACATTTTACTAGGGTGCAACTAATGATTGTATGAATGGTGCCTCTGTTGGATCCTGCACTCTAAAGGACTCAGATATAGCAAGATCTTTCAATAAGAAAAAAAATGAAAGGGCTGAGAGGTGCCTCTCTGCTTTAAGACCATATCTAAGATAAAGCAAGCTCTTTGAATGAGTCCCATGTTGTGGTTCTCCCTCATGTCTCCCTTCTAGCCTCTAATGTGATCTTTTTGAAGTCTTTAAGCAAAGTGATATCTTTAAACCCTTGCGTTTTCTTTATTACTGAAGATCTTGATATGTTTAAGTCTTTTGGAATGTGGAGCGAAAAGGAGTTCTGTGAGGAATGTGGATTCACAAGCTACGCAACGGGTACTGTATTTCATAAGGGGAAAACAACCACCTGTACATGATATTATCTGGTATTTTGCAAGGACAAGGCTAATGAGCATGCAGGAAAAAAAATGAAGCATTGCAATCAATTATGTGTGAAATTATGCAAAGTGTAAGGAAAACAATAAGCAGCAGGCCATATGCACAGCTGACAAAAAAGCTTTAAAAAGTTACCGCTGACGATCTGACTTGTAAGTGGCTGTCAGCTCATCAAACATGGTGCTGTTCATTTCCATAAATGCCTTCAACACATTGTAGACTAAAGCCACAATAGCCCTGAAACATGAAATGAAAAGACAAAGAAAAGATGTGTGTTAGTGTCAGATGAAATAGGAGAAACCAAAAAGAACTCCCTTTACCCCAAATTTTCTTAATGGAATTAATGGAGTTGATTCTATTCTTTCAGCTATGATGATGTAATTCCTTTGACTTTATAGAAGGGGATTTTTGTACTTGTACAAGGCAAAAATCAGGCTTTTCATCACTTTTTATTGGTTAAATGGAGCAACCAATAGTTAAACCACTTTCAAGGCAGTTAAACACATATATTTGCAGACTTTTCACTATAAAGTTCAATAATTCTGAATGCAACCAAACAAGTAAAATAATTAATCTAGTTGACGCAACTGAAATGCAATAATCAAATGTGGATGGTTCATAGAAAAAAGTATCAGTAAAAGCTTGAAGACAAAAATAAGAGAAGCTAGACAACACAGCAGATCAGTGCATAATATAGGCAAAAGTGTAGTAATCTAAAACATTAGCCCCAGGATGTTTATACAGTTAAACCCGCTTTATGCTGTACATGTGTTCCTGGAAAATGGTGCATAACTCTAATTCACATAAAGGGAACCCACTTTACGATGTAACAAATAGGGATAAGTTCCAAGACCTTGACTGTACTGACCACCAGACCCATTTCTACCCCTTCTCCAAGACAATTTTGGTGTTCACCAACAGCAGACAGTACACACAAGCACAAGGTGGCGGTGAACGTTTAGTTGGTGTGAAGAAAGGGTGGTGAAGGGTCTTCAGGGTCAGACTCCACATCGCTAGTAGAACGTACAGGCAGTGTAACACCCATAGGAGAATCAACAGGCACAGAGCTCTCATCACCCTCCAACACCAGTGGGGTGGGGCTAGGGGTAATCGAGTGAAGATTCAAGAACTGGAACATCCACACAGGAGACTAGATTTTGGTGTGTATCACTCCCACAATGCCCTGCATGCAGCAGCTGGCTGCAGGCTTCCACCACATTGATTGCATAAGAGTGAATTTACCTCGCATATAATGAATTTTTGGTATAAAAAGGGTCATCACGTAAGAGCGAATTTGCACATATAAAACCCGCACAAAGCAAGGGAAACCTGTATTGTATCCAGCAAACCGTAAACATGCTCTGCAAGCCAGGTAGCAAAGAGATGAGATGTGTGCGGAACAGTTTCATGAAAACTTTCTATTAACTTCCTTATAAAATATAAATTTCAGGTTAACTGAAGAGTTGCATTTTCTTGATCATGTGACGAGCCAAATATATTCTTAAAATAGTGTGTGGTAGTAGTTTTGCCAGCAGAGAGTTTTCAGAGTAATAGTAAATAACCTGGATATCACATAGGGTAATTTAATTTGGATTTATGACATTTGATTACATTTATATAAAAGAAACTGAATCTGGAAAAGTATGTGCATCTTTAGAAGAATGTTGCTGTTGAAGAATACTCGTTATAAGAATTATGTACCTACAATGATTTATTATGACCAAGTGGTGTTTCCTGGGTAATGTATGGTCCAATTCAGTGAGCAGGTTTAGGGCATAACTGCATTAACAGAGCATCAGAAATTCTTGGTGCTTGATAGCTTTCCCTGGTAAATATCTCATTTCTATTATTTTATCGTTATAATGTATAATAAACACAAGGTTTTAAAAGAGGATAAGGTTACTTGCAGTAGTTGCTGCTATATATTCTATCATAAAAATATCTACTTTGCTTTTGTTACATAAAATTCAGGCTTTTTGCATCCTCCAGATAACTGAACTGCATTTTCTAAGCCAAGTTAAAATTTCACTGGCTTTAACCAAATGGCACCTGCTTTTGCCAGCTCAGAATTTGGCTCTTCATTATTTTCTTTATATGAATTTTTCCAAGTTAAAAAAAAAAAAAGACGTTTTAAGAAGTGGAAAGGCTCCAAAACTTACGGATTCCAGTGTTCTTTGGAAATCCTATAAAGACTGGAAAACATGATAGGAAGTATAACATTGGAGTTCTCCTCTATTAAACTCATGATGTATTCATTATTCCAATAATACAGTGCTCTTTCTGCCACCTTTGAGAAGAAAGAATAAACCAATTAAAAAAATTCAGGGACTGACATAACATGTAATATTTTGAAGTAATAACAAGCCACAGAATATATTATGCCAGAACAAATTAGTGAAAGAGTATTATTTCTGTAATGAAATTGCCGTTTTAATCAGTTGTAGAACTTGCACTAATGTAAGATACAGGGGTGTGTGAAGCAGTCCACATTCAATTCTGACTTTGCCCGATTTGGGGGACAGCAATTTGATTAGTTGATTCAGATCACTGTCCCGATCCGATATGGCCAAATCTGAAGATTTGATTCTGATTCAGAGAATCAGCGATTTGGCCATAGACAGCTTTGCTTTTTCTACATACCTCAAGGTACCAGAAGTGGCTCGTGAATGCTGC